TTAAAAAAAAAAAAAATTATATATATATATATTGATTTCAGAGAGGAAGGGAGATAGAAATATCAATGAAAGAGAACCACACTCCCACTGTGGATTGAACCATGACTTCTTGTTTCATAGATCGACACTCAACCACTGAGCCACACCAGCCAGGCAGGTAAGGAACTCCCATTCATTGCTAGTAGGGTTGCAAAATGCCACAGCCACTTAGGGAGTGTTTGGCAGTTTCTCATAAAACTAAACATACTCTTAAGCATATGATCTAGCCACTGCATTTCTTGGTATTTACCCAAATGAACTAAAAATTTATGCCTACATAAAAACCTGTATATGTTTATAGTAGCTTTATTCATAGTTGCCAAAAATTTGGAAGCAAAGATGTCCTTCAATAGGTAAATGGATAAACTATGTTACAAGACAATATTTATTCAGCACTAAAAAGAAGAGCTATCGCTCAGCTGGCATAGCTCAGTACTTGAGCAACAACCTATGAACCAGGAGGTCACGGTTTGATTCCCGGTCAGGGCACATGCCCAGGTTGTGGGCTCAATCCCCAGTGTGGGGTGTGCAGGAGGCAGCTGATCAATGATTCTCTCATCATTGATGTTTCTCTCTCTCTGAAATCAATAAAAATGTATTTGAGGGGGAAAGTTTAAAAATAAAAAGAAATATCAAGCTGTCTATGAAAACCTGAGGAACCTTAAATATATATTACTATGAAAGCCCATCTGAAAAGGCTACATACTATATGAATCCAACTACATTATGGGAAAGGTAAGACAGTCAAAAGATCAGTGTCTAACTAGGGCAGTGGTTCTCAACCTTCCTAATGCCGCGACCCTTTAATACAGTTCCTCATGTTGTGGTGACCCCCAATTTTATTGTTACAAATTGAACATAATTAAAGCATAGTGATTAATCACAAAACAATACGTAATGATATATGTTTTCCAATGGTCTTAGGCGACCCCTGTGAAAGGGTCATTCAACCCCCAAAGGGGTCGTGACCCACAGGTTGAGAACCGCTGAACTAGGAGTTAAGAGGGAGGACGAAGAGGCAAGGCACAGAGAACTTTCAGGACAGTAAAACTATTGTGTAATGAGCTGTAATGGTGAATACATGTCATTATACATTTGTCCAAACTCACACAATGTATACCAAAAGTGAATCTTAATGTAATCTATGGTCTTTCGGCAATGAGGATGTGTCATTGTAGGTTCACTGATTGTAACAAATGTACTACTCTGGTGGGAGAAGTTGACAGTGGGGGAAGCTAAGGGGTGGGGTGCAGGAAGGGAATATATGGGAATTCTTTCTGTACTATTTTGCTGTAAATCTAAAACTGCTTTTAAAAAATCTATTTAAAAAAATGACAACTCAGCTCTCTCCAGTGCACCCTACCTCCAAGGAGCACACCCATGCCATTGCCTTTCTCCTTCCCCCACAGGCACGTATATCCCAACCCCTAAGGAACCCCATGAGACTTGCAACCAGTGGAGAAATGGGTAGCTGCAGCTCATCCTGGGCTAACCCCCTGAGCCTGTCTCCATGGCCCCCTTTCCTCTGACTTCCCAGTGAGCTCAAGCTGCCTGACCATTGTCCATCTGTGTCTCTCCCTGCCCGCCCCCCTGCAATCTGCTTCTTGTTTGGAATGTCAATAAACCCCACTTCTTAAAAAAGAAAAGACTCAGTGTTCAAGCATTTTATTAAACAAGATAAGGAATATCCACATCGTTGCACATATCAGATCGTATACAATTATAATGGCATATCACTTGTTCACAAAGATATAGCTGAGCAGTAGGTTGAGAAGTTTAATTAAGCCATCTTTAACCAAGTAAAATTTCAAGAACATTCAAAGAGGAAACACAGTAAAGGTTATGCAAGTTCTAGAATAGTGAATCATCACACAGTTCACTCCTTTTATCCTTTAGCCTCGAAATGTACATATCTATAACCAGAAAAAAATATGAAGACCTGCAGGTGTCACTAGTCAAATATACATTTCATTCAGGAATAGTAAGCCCTTTACTACCTCTTTGATTGGTAATAACTCAACCTTAAACATAGAGCTTTTAAAAGCAATTTACTGCTGTAAAATGTATGCCCATTATTTGTATTATTCCTTGAAGTCACTGAGCTTTTATTAAAGTATGATAAAGCATGATACTCAAACCAGGAATCCCAGCAATGACCTTTTTACTTCGCTACACTAAATATTATTCCAGATAAAACACTGTAAAGACTAAACAGACTCAGTAGTGAAATAATTCAGTGAGGCTGTAATAATCTAGAACTATTATTAACTTGGGTAAGTGACACCAAGTTTAAAGAACCTTAAGAGACCCTATGGATTTTTTTAGGTAACAATATTGAACTGCCCAGATAACAAACAGCTGATTACATGTTTGAGTAGAGAACAAAGTCTTTACTCATGTAGCCTCAAACTTATTTGTTCACATCTACATTTAACGTATGACCACCATGTACTAATAGGTAGGTAGGTAGGCATGATCAAAGATCCTTTTGCAAGCTGGCTCCCCACACCCTTCTCTCCCCCCTCCCCCCCAGACCTCCTATGCAAATTTCCCCTGCTTTAAGCTAAAAGGTCAGTTCAGGATTCAAGCTTGAATGAACTAAGGTTATAGGAAATAACATGCATATACGGGATAGTTAAATTCATTTGTCAATAGCAAACATTATAAATGTGTGCTACTATTCCGCTAAACAGAAGACCCAGAGAAACCACAAATGTAACGTAACACCACATCAGGTTTAAAAACAACCTTTGAATCAACAAAAAGAATCTCGAAGGAAGTAGTTTTATTTTACCATGGTTGAATTTACCCACCAAATGTTTAATGACCACAAAATGTTCTGCAACTAAAACTAAAAGATAGAGAATTATAGGGAGCTAGAAATATATGTTAGATACTAACGATCTTCAAGCTTTTAAGATGTCATTGCATGAAGAAAATTATGGGAAACACTGTTCCCGATAATTACGTACACCCTTAGTGTAACATATGGAGATCACTGTCTCCGATATAGACACTGTGGTAGGCAAAAACTACCTTGTTCTTTATGCATTATGGAAGACACTGCTCCCGATAATGTGAGTTAGGTTTGTGACAAAGGTACTGGAAATTTTGCAAATTTTGAATTAAAGTTACAGCTTGGATAAACTGAGCTGTAAAATTTTGCTTATGAGTACTACCACAGCCTTTAAGTGCAATTAATTTATAACTTGGTCACAACTCAGTACTTTAGGGAAACTACCGTTTTTATCTACTTGGCTAAATAGAAGTCTAACTTGATTAGCAATCCCTAATTAAATTTAAGTCTCTAATATTTAGCTTTAAATTTTTATTTGAGGCTGTTTTCTAAAACCCTGTTTTCTAAAACAAGTATTGACCATTATAAATGCAAAACTTCCAGTATCTGTTGGGTTTTATTAGCAGATGCTGCTTTTATTTAAAAAAACAAAACAAAAACGACAGTATAACTGTCATAATTATGGAAGGCACTGCTTCCGATAATTATCTTCTATAAAAAAAACCACCATTTATAGTGAACTCTGTCACTGATAAATAAACAATAAATATCTTGAGCCAAAATGATAGGAAGCTTTCCAAAAAATTAACACTTTGACCAAAATTTGGCAGTGTGTTCTTTAAAGTCTGACACTGAGCTTGAAATTAAACACCTAAAACTGGTTCTCTTTCAAAATATCTTGGAAAAAAACAAACAAACAAAAAAACTAAACAAGGCTTATGCGGGAAGGGACAGAGGAAAGAAAATATACTAGGTCTTTGGCTTCTGGTCTCCTCTCTTTGTAAATGATCTTGAGGTTAACACATTAAGGCCTTGCTCCTGCGATAAACAGTTGAACCTTATTTTATCCAGCTAAAGGACCTCATTAGCAAGAAAACAAGTCCCATCTCTTTTGAAAGTTAACTGTCTCATCCAGGGATGAGGAAACCAGCTAAATCCTTAAAGGCATAGATCTTACAACCTGGTATCTGCTATTTGGCATCAAACGAAATACCATGTTTGACCTGCAGCAGACACCACCTTCCTCCTCCCACTCAAGAGACATCAGTGTTCATGTCCTTAGGATTTAGAGCAATAGTTCATGTAACTGGTTCTGACTTTTTTTTATAACTGTAACAGAAAAGAGGCAGTTACCATTACAAAGCACTTAAAATTCTAGAGAAAAACATTCTTTCATGAACACTTTTCAGTGGTTATTCACTTTAACAGGTACCTACCCGGTATTAAAAGCTGCTGCCTAAAGACATCTAGTAGTACCGAGATGAATGGGTAGAACTTTAACAATATTAGGTTTTGTAGCCCTACTGAAAATTTAGCACAACCAGCACAAGTCACAGGTACCCTAAGTTAAGGGTATCACATTTAAAACTCATTGTCGATGTCCCAAATGTCACCAGAGATGGCATTTGCAGCTTCCTGAATAGTCCAAGTTGCTAAAGCCAGCTGGTTTCTGAACAGTGTTTCATTAAAAGCACTGCGATCTTGCCGACGCAGTTTTATGTGCTCCAGTAAAGCTTGGAGAGTGTGAGAGCCAGAGCCCCAGAAGATGTGTCGGAAAGGAGCATCTCTTGGAGATACATAGGGTGAGAGGAGGTGATATTCCACCTAAAAAACAAAACATACAAGAGCGCTGACAGTATTGACTTTGGTTGTGAAGAAAGAATCTGATACAGTAAAACTACAGTCACTATCCCACTTCCAAATGTTCGGTTTCCTTTAATTTAAGAATGCTGAGAACCAGGCTATTAATCTGTTAAAATTGTAAAACTAAATGTCAACTCCTTTGTAAAAGTGAACTCTAATTGTTTTTCTTTGTTGTTGTTGGAGCACAACAACATCTGGAAGATTTGTAAGTTTCTGCTGTAAAAGGATCTTCTGCTTCTTCCCAGCAGTCTGAAGGCTGGATTAGACAACAGAAACGTAGAGAAATGACAGCTAAATCACTAATGATCTCTTCTTTAAACATGTGTTTAGCCCGGCCAGCGGGGTTCAGTGGTGGGCATCGACCTATGAACCAGGCAGTCATGGTTAGATTCCCAGTCAGGGCACATGCCTGGGTTGCAAGCTCGATCCCTGGTGCGGGGTATGCAGGAGGCAGCCGATCAATGGTTTTCTCTTCCCCTTCCCTCCCTCCCCCATCCCTTCCTTTCTGAAATCAATAAAATATATTAAACAATAAAAATGTTTCTAAAGCCTAAAAAAGTCAACACTAGGTTAAATGTTTCTTGTATTTCCAAGTTTGGTGTGTTGATTTAGACCTTGTAAGAGTTAATATCTGTGAATTCTAAAGCAGCAAAGGATTCTAAGCTTCTGAAGTTATACTTTTTAGAAATGCAAGGTTTACCAACTAAATTTAACATATTTTAGTTCTTCCTTTTCTAAGAGGTTACTTACTCTCATGATGCGGTCATTGATTTCCCTCATGACAAGTCTGTCTGCTGTATCTGAATTCTTATAATCTGTTGTTAGTTTGGAAGTAGCACGATAAAAGTCTCCACGAGCAGAATATAACCACTGTAGACTCAGACCCATCTCCTGTAGCAAAAGACATTCCATTCACTATTAGATATTATATTCCTAAGGATGTTATTCTACGCCTTTCTAATTTAGGTGTAGCAACTGAGATTCTGATAAAAGGGGGTGAACTCACAGACAAATGCAAGATCCAGAGAAAGCTAGATTAAAGCACTTGTACAGGAGGTTCCAAGCTCTGTAAACTATAGCAATGCACTCATATTTAAGCCCAGCATATAGTATAAGTATCACTCTTGGTCTCAAAAGAAAACCGTACTAAAAAAATTTAACATAATCTACTTAGTCCAAGTATATAACTCTGTGTAGTATATTGTTCCCAGTTCAAGGGAGAATACATGAAGCATTTTGGTTCAACAAACTTTAGAATCTAGTTATTCCCATCTGGTTAAGTCTCATTTTCTGATCAGCTACAATTTGTTTCAAGAAAGCCATAGTAAGTCCTTGCCACGTATCTCAGTTGGTTAGAGTGTTGTCCCAATATGCCAAGGTTGCTGGTCGATCCCCGATCAGGGCACATACAAGAGTCAACCAATGAATGAATAAAGAAGTGGAACAAAAACTGATGTTCCTTTCTCAATCAATTTTTAAAAATTAAAATAAAAGGAAAGCCATAAGATTTGGTTATCAGTTGGAAACCACTTTTGATTTTATCAAGTTTGAATACTACGCAGGATGAACACTAAATAAGACTGTAACTAACTACTGGCTATGTTCTCTCTCCATCATGTCATCTCCAAAAGGCATATATCTAAACTCACAGGTTCAAAGTCATAGGTTGACACCTATAGTCTCTGGGTCCTAGCTCTTTATGGATTGCCTGGAATACATGAACAATAGAAAACATAGTTCTAGATTCTGAAATACCTGCCATGGTCTATTCTAGATCTATAACCTCCCAAATGAATTATGGATTCTAAGCAAAATAACACCTCAGTTCACTTTAAAATGTATTTTGGTTACCAACTAAGTCTCTCCCCAGGAACAGTTAAACATCATTCTTCAAACTGCTTAATACTGCAGCATTAAGAACCAGATTTTAATTAGTGCTCACCTTTACATCTGTTTTGAACTGGTTCATATCCCTCACAAATGAAAGCATTTTCTCATTATACATGTCATAGTTCAGGTTCAATTCAGCATTATGGGTAAGTTTAATCATGAGCTGACCAGCAACTTCTGCTGCTGCACGTGCCATTTTGTTCAACTCGGGGACTTCCTGATTCAGTACCTCATAAGTATCCTGGGTAGTACCTAAGTAAGGATAATCTGAGGCCTGGAAAACAAAGTGAGGTTAATGTACTCAGGCAGGTTAGAAAAGTAGGCGCCTCACATTCCAGTTACACCATCAAGGTAATAGTAACTATAATTCTTCCTTTGCTTCTAACATGTTCCTAACCCCGGTGTTACTACTCTTAGATGAAATCCTCTAAATCCCCATTGTCCAATAAGCAGGCTGTTATTAACGGATATTACTTAATTGAAGTTTTAGCAAATAAAATCAAATGCTATTAGGCTAATTGAGAACAATTCTATTGTAAAACTGATCATAAGGTAGCATACAATAACTGCATGTGTATAACTTCTTAAAACATTGTAAGCACTCTAGGAAACTTGGTTTCAAATTTGATGAAAGAAGAGCCAAGATACAACACTTCAGAGTTCTTCAGACTTACCCCACAAAAACAGAAAGAAACTGCTGGGATTCCAGAATACGCAAGGAAAGGGAAAGCAGCATCATCAAGAGAAAATTTCTCCCTGCAAGGAAAGAATGTGTTTTTTAGAAAGTTTTCCAAAGAACAGACTATGCTACCATGTAACCTTACTCCTAGCTGCCCCAAAAGTCTTAAAAGGAATCTCTCTAGGTATAGGTAAGCTCACTGCAAAGTTACCCAGATCTCTACCTGACACAGTAGGTGCTACTGCACGATTGTTTTTCTATCAGTTGTTTATTCACTTGTCTCACAACTTACACTTTGTTCATCCAGTTGCTATCCCGATACAGAGACAACCCAGTAACTGGATGTTTCACCTGTTAAATAAGAAATTAAGTTATCATTAAAATGAACCTTTCTGAAATATATTTCTCTTTTATAAACATTTATTAAAAGACACTACATTTTTATTATATCTCCCTGAAAAAATTTTTAGGACAAAACAATTTCAAATTTTTGAAGTTATTCTTACTAAGCTTGTACTGCTAGTGCCTTTAGTTAAGGTGAGAAAAAAAATATATGCTTTCTTAACATTCTAAAGGTGGTTTAACCACAATTTTAAAAAGCCCTCTCCTAGCCTTCATGGTATGTCTATCTCATTTCTTCCTTCTAGCACATTTCATACTACTGCCAGCCTAACCTGCAAACACATTACTGCCTTATTAGAGACCCTATTGTAATCCCTCGTTTCCCATGGAATCAAGGTCAAGTTCCCTGACCCTTGGTTCCCTTCCAACCTTAATCAATCCAATATATAACCGCTAATGGTGTTAGGCAAATTTGATTCCTTGCTCATTCAAAACTATGGTCATTCACATGTCTGTCTCTATTCAATGAATATTTTATCTGACCTTCTGACTTAAGTCTTAGGGATAGTTTAAGTCCATTTAAAACCTTCCTTAACATTCTGACTCTATAGACCTCGACCAGTGATGGCGAACCTATGTCACTTCTGACATGCGAACTCATTTTTTTGGTTGATTTTTCTTTGTTAAATGGCATTTAAATATATGAAATAAATATCAAAAATATAAATCTTTGTTTTACTATGGTTGCAAATATCAAAAAATTTCTATATGTGACACGGCACCAGAGTTAAGTTAGGGTTTTTAAAAATGCTGACATGCCTAGCTCAAAAGGTTTGCAATCATTGCTATAGACAACCTCCGTGGGTACCGACAGTACAGCTTAGGCCCCGTGGAACTCTGCTACATATTCCTAAACAGACTACATATTGTTTGTGATCAGAGCCCTTCGTATACCACCTCCCATGGTTCAATAGGCTGGGGAAAAATAAGCCAAGAGCGTGACTGAAATAACGCTGCTATAAAATTTATTCTAAGTTACTTTAGCTATCAATATTTTTCACCTTATGTGAATTAGGCAAAAAATTAAGTTATATATTTTCGTAATTAGGTATACACTTACGTCTTGCATCGTTTCCTCAATGAGTGAATACAACAATGGGCTGGCAGAAACCTTGAAGTTGCTGGTACCTGCAAAGAGATTATTCTAACATTGCGCCTTCTCTAGTCAAGCAATTTTCACCCTGCTACTTCAACAACTAAAAGTACTTGCAAATAGGAAGACAGGAGGATAATAACCAAGATGAGTGGCATATACAACTATCCTCTTAATGAAGTAGATAAAAGTTCTTTAGTGACCACTAACCTTAATTTGACTCAACCGAATCTCTTACTGCCTGAGTTTGCCTACTTTAATGTTAATGATTTGGTTTTCTTGGTTCATCCATGTTAAGGCATTCATCTGCTAATTGTAAGTAAGCTTGCTATATTCAAAACATTCTGCTGTGCAGGTAAAATGGCAATGATAAATCTAGTAAGATTTCGTTAACTCCCTCCTTTTTTGTCCCAATGGAGACACATTTTACTCTTCTCAGTTCATCCACTGGCTACACCTGCATTTTTAATAACATTCAAACTCTTTTAATTGGTATCTCCATCTATGATGCCACAATATAGTAATATGTGAACTAGTCTCTAGAAGTGCCATTCTACATGACATGATTTAGTTCCTTCTGGTCTAAAACACTGTCCAGACTATTGGTTCTCAAACGTTAGTGCAAGCATATCAAACTAGCAGCCCGCATGCGGCCCACAACGAATATTTTCGCAGCCCAGCCAATATAATGGTCTGTAAGAAATGTTTTAATAAAAATTTCATAACTGAATTTTTAGAATATCCTGTTATGCATAATTATTAATAATGAACTACAACGTTCGCTAATGACTACTATAATTGTGTTGCATTCACTTCCCTTATGCGCCTTACGCACAGGCATACCATTTCTCTCCACTAAAACTAGCAGCAAATATTTTAGCAGCTGATTGCCACAGCATTAGTCTTGTACTGACTTGTTTGGTGTGCGCAACGGGAAATATTTCACTTTCGGAGAACAAGAAAAATAGGTTTATTTGTGTTATGTTTATTAATTTGTGCAGTTATTCAGTGTCTGATAAGTTAGGGTTCAAGAAAAAAATAGTAATTTTTATTAAAATGTTCTATTTTATGTTAACGATTACTCATTTCAGCCCTTTGTATTCAGCACATCTCTACTGAAATAAACCTATGTTTCTATGAAAATTGAAGCTTTTGTATTTTTGCAGCCCGCATAAACTTGAACCTTATTTGGGCCGTGTTAGCCTTTGAGTTTGACATGCTTTGCTTAGTGCATCAGAATCACTTGGAATGCTTGCTAAACCAGTTTGCTGGACCTATGCTCCAATTTCTGACTCAGAAGTCTGAGATAGGCCTGAAATTTCTTCATTTCTAACAGTTCCCAGGTTATCCTGATGCTGCTGCTGTGGGGACCACACTGAGAAACACTGCTCTGGACAAGGCTATCTGCACCCATTTTAACTTAATGGACAATTAAGAGAAAGGTAAGTGAATCTTTTGATCTGGAAATGGCCAATGTAAATTGTAAAAAGTAGTAAGTGCTGCTTTAGAAAGCTTTCTTCTGCTGTTTTGTATTAGTTTATCTAAATTCATGACTAGCTAATGAAAAGGATACTCACCAAGAACAGCTTTATCCAGATTAATGTAAGTGAAAGCCTTTATATGCAAGCTGGAAAGGTATCCCTAGAAGAGAAGGAAAAATACTCATGTATCAATCTAATTATCACCTAAAGTAACCATTATTAGGAATTTCTTTTTAAATTTGGATTCTATTGGGACTAAATATTCTATTGAGAGCATGGTTTCTGGAAGACAAGTTAAGGCAACACAAGTTTGGGTGCCATTCTGGGTGTCGTTAATACCTCCAGCCATTCAGTGGCACCCACAGCTCCGAAGTCACCAGCGCTCCAGCTGGCAAAGACAATGCTTCTTCTGGGTTTAAACCCGCCTGAAAGACAACAAAAGGTTAGCTTCATCTTGGGAAAAAGTATAGGTAGACAAGTGATTTAAAGATAAAATAAAAAACTTCTAACAGCAGATTAAAAAATTCTTTTCCTGCCCTCACCGGTTTGGCTCAGTGGATAGAGTGTCGGCCTGCGGACTGAAGGGTCCCAGGTTTGATTCCGGTCAAGGGCATGTACCTTGGTTGCGGGCACATCCCCAGTCAGGGGGGGTGTAGGAGGCAGCTGATCGATGTTTCTCTCATCAATGTTTCTAACTCTCTATCCCTCTCCCTTCCCCTCTGTAAAAAATCAATAAAATATATTGAAAAACAAAAATTCTTTTCCTTTTGAGGCCCCAGGTGAAAACAAATTTTGAAAGTGATCTACATGATCGATCACATTATAAGGAAATAATAAATGTTGAATCACTATGTTGCACACTAAAGCTAATGTAACATTGTATGTCAACTATATGCAATAAAAATAAATCTTTACAAATTAAACAAAGTAATCTAGAAAAAACAAGGTAGGTAATCATTTGCAAATAAGATTTCCAGTATGCAGCAGGGACCAGCTTATTGAAAGGCACTTTTTTTCAGCTCCATTCTTTGGATCCCTTACCTTCTGGACCAAGATATATTTGAAATCACAGTGTATCTTATTTGAGAACAATTTGCTTAAAAGTATGTAACTTAAAAATTGCTTGAAAAAACAGTTGTTATGAAATAAAATAACAATTCACACATTTATGTTATAGGGAAGAGTTTTCAGAGAAACGACATTAGTGGCAGTTCCTTTGGGGGCTATATGCACCACTGCCCTCCATCCCTTCCCTTTCCCTGAGTATATATTTTTCGAAATGTTAAGCATTGCAACTTACCGTGATCCAAAGATTCAATAATGTGGTGAAGGTTTGCATGTGTGTGTGGGTAGGTATAGAGGAGTGGTAAATACCATGGCAGAAAGGCTTCAAAGTGAGCCTTTATATATTATGTTTATAATATACAAATATTTTCTCATACTCATAAATATATCAAATCATACAAAATTTTACAATCCTATATAATAAAGGGTAATATGCAAATTGACTGAACGGTGGAAAGACCGGTTGCTATGACATGCACTGACCACCAGGGGGCAGACGCTCAACACAGGAGCTGCCCCCTGGTGGTCAGTGTGCCACAAGCCTGGCTGACAGATGCCAAACACAGTGGCCTGCCTCCTCAGCAGTTGGACATCCCCTGAGGGCTCCTGGACTGTGAAAGGCAGGCCAGGCTGAGGGACCTTCTCCCTCTGCACTCTCCCCCGTGCACAAATGTCGTGCACCAGGCCTCTAGTAAAACTATAAAACATTAGTACACAGGTATGTCACTGCTTGCTTTCAAATAGATTCCTTAGGGGCCATGTTAGATTTGCCATATCATTCTGGGTATGTCGAACTCAGAATTAGGGCCAAATATAACACTTTTCAGTATCTCAAAAGAAATGGATGGGCACTGGCTGGGTAGCTCAATTGGTTAGAGCTGTTGTTCCAGTAAACCAAGGTCTCGGGTTCAATCCCCAGTCAGGGCACATACAAGAATCAACCAATGAATGCGTAAGTGGAACAACTAATTGATGCTTCTCTCTCCCTTCCTCTAAAATTAATCAATCAATAAAAATTTTAAAAAAATGGATGATTCCCAGTATAATGAAGACACTGCAAAGTCAAAGGCAGGGATATAATGTATAGCATAGAGAATATAGTCAATGATATTGTAATAACTATATAGTAACAGATGGTTACTAAACCTATCATGGTAATCATTTCATAAGGCATATAAAATGTCAATTCACTACGTGGAACATCTGAAATCAATTTGTATGTTAACTATATTTTCAAAAGTCAAAGAAAGATATAACAAAAGAAAATCTGCTTTATACTAAAGAACTCAGGGTTTAGAAGGAGTGACAAAGGTAAAAGTGAGCAAAGCATACTATAACATTTAAAACTATATGTAGCACATAGATATTCAAGTTCTCAAAATGTGCGCCCTACCTTTAAAGACCAAATCAGAGAATATCTGGGCAAGTTCCAATAGAAGGGCTGTTCCCACACTGGATTTTGCAGCTCCAGGACCCCAGGCATCCCTCTGGGCCCCGACTACAATATAACGACCTTAAAAAAAAAATACAATGAGCTCTTAAATTGTTTTCTGAGTCTAGAATAAGCACATTCATAGAAGGGTAAAAATGAAGTATATGCATTAAGGGTAAGAGAGCTTTAGGATTTTGGGATTAAAAATTCATATGACAATACTAATATTTTTCCTTATTAATATTGGTCCTCTTTTTTTACATTACCAATTAAGTTTACTCATCGACTATGTATTTGTGCTCACCTATCGTATATAATAAAAGGCTAATATGCAAATCAACCAAACGGGGGAATGACTGGTTGCTGACGCGCACTGACCACCAGGGCTCAGATGCTCAATGCGGGAGCTGCCCCCTGGTGGTCAATGTGCTCCCACAGGGGGAGTGCCGCTCTGTCAGAAGCTGGGCTCATGGTTGGCGAGCACAGTGGTGGTGGCAGGAGCTTCTCTGCCTCCACATCAGTTGGACATCCCCCAAGGGCTTCCAGACTGCAAGAGGGCACAGGCCGGGCTATGGGACGAATTTCATGCACCGGGCCTCTAGTTCTTTAATAAGCAACCGAAATCCAAGGATTTTCATTACCCAATGATATGACTATTTGAATGCATTTAAATAGATAGATGACCTATTATCAGTATCAGCAAATTATATCCCATTTGTTGATTCATTATGCATTGTCTATAGCTGTTTTCATGATATAATACCAGAGTTAAATAGTTGCATCAGAGACTGTATGGCCTGCAAAATGTTTATTATCTGTCCCCGTAAGTAGAAATTAGCTTACTGCTGGTCTACTCAATAATTAAAAGCAATTTTTAAGTCATAATGGTCAATTTTTGAAAAGTTACTGTCCTGGGGCTTTATTTAGCTTCCAAGGAAACTGACACCTAAATGATTCACTTTAAGACATATAAGACTTAGCTTTTCACAAAGCCAAGCCAGCCTTCTCTCACTCCCTCCTCTGGCTACATGCTTAACAGGGAGAAAACCAGAAATACATAAATAGAGCAATAGACACAGTTAGACAGAGAAATCGGAGGTCTTTACCTGGTTCTTCGAAGCCTTTAATAACACCGAAGACATTAAAAATTCTTATCTCTTTCAGCACATTGTTCACAGTGAGTTTCACGTTCCTATTCTGTGTGGTTACCAGCTTACATGAAGAATCTGTTTTCCAAGAAGAAGGACAGTCTCCTTCCATATTTTCAGAACTAAAAAACAGAAATCAGCATTCTGAGTTACTGCTACTTTCCCCAAGTTTACAAAACCAGTCCTTCTTACATCCAGTAGAGTTCTAGGTTAAGAGGTCATATAAGAGAACATACAAAATTTACTCCCTAGTGGCTATTTGTTTCTTATTCTGATCTGTAGACAACCATGAGTTTACTTCCTGTTTAAGCACAATGTTCTTACCTTCTTCTTCTGATGTGTGCCTTTCTGCCAGAGAATAGTTATAGTTATAGTTTACATTTAAAATAGATACCAAGATGGACTCAGATGGACTTTTTCTTATATAAAAGTCCATTAATATATTCCCATGTTTGCCCTAGCCCAGCCGTGGGCAAACTATGGTCCGCGGGCCGGATCCGGCCCGTTTGAAATGAATAAAACTAAAAAAAAAAAGACCGTACCCTTTTATGTAATGATGTTTACTTTGAATTTATATTAGTTCACACAAACACTCCATCCATGCTTTTGTTCCGGCCCTCCGGTCCAGTTTAAGAACCCATTGTGGCCCTCGAGTCAAAAAGTTTGCCCACCCCTGCCCTAGCCGGTCTGGCTCAGTGGATAGAGCATCGACTTGCGGACTGAAGGGTCCCGGGTTTGTTTCCCGGTCAAGGGCACATGCTCGGGTTGTGGGCTTGATCCCTGGTAAGGGGCGTGCAGGAGTCAGTTGATCAATGAATCTCTCTCATTGATGTTTGTATCTCCCTCTCCCTTCCTCTCTGAAATCAATAATATATATATATGACTTATGCCCTAACCGATTTGGCTCAGTGGATAGAGCGTCAGCCTGCGGACTGAAGGGTCCCAGGTTCGATTCCGGTCAAGGGCATGTACACCTTGGTTGTGGGCCCATCCCCAGTAAGAGGTATGGAGGAGGCAGCTGATCGAAGTTTCTCTCTCATCAATGTTTCTAACTCTCTATGCCTCTCCCTTCCTCTCCGTAAAAAATCAATTAAAAAAAAAAAAAAAGAGTGACTTAAAGGAAAAGACCTTTAAAAATTATATACATACATACATATATACATATATATCTCCACATTTACTAACTCCACTAACATGGGTAGTATGTATAGAGGCTTATCTCAGTTATAAAAGAATATTCTCAGAGAAAGATAAGTATCACATGATCTCATTCTTATGTGGAATCTAATGAACAACATACACTGAAGAACAAAAATAGATCCAAAGACACAGAAGCACCAAACAAACTGTCAAACCTCAGAGGGAAGGTAGGGAGGGTGGGCGAGTGGGAAGAGATTAACCAATGGACTTGTGTGCATATATGCACAACCCAAGAACACAGACAATAGTGGTGAAGGCCTGGGTAGTGGCCGGGGGCATGCACCAAGAGTTCACCAGTTTGACTGCTGGTCAGGGCAAATGCCCAGGTTTCAGGGTCGACCCCCAGTAGGGGGTGTGCAGGAAGCAGCTGATAAATGTTTTTCTCTCATCAATGTTTCTATCTCTCTCCCTATCCTTTTCCTCTCTCTAAAAACCAACAAAAACATTTAAAAAAAGAAAAGAAAATCCAGAACTAATGAGTATTATAGCTCAACATAAATTCCAACAGATCTTCTCCAATAACTGAATGGGTTGCCATAGGCAACAAAACGTTTAACCACAGGAAGCATTCAAGCACAGCTATGCCAGGAATACTACACAAAGAATTCACTGAGTGAATTGAACAAGGACTCCTTGAGTTTATAAATCCAAGGTCTATCATTAATATCACTTTATGTTGGAAAATCTCATTTTTTATCTATACCAAATTAATAGCTATCCATCCCCAAAATGTTCCAAATGTGGAAAACAATAGCCAATTGTTTTAAGACTTTATCAAATCAACAGATTATTCTCCTTAATCATAAAGTCTCACCCTGAAAGGCAGTTTTCAAATAAGAACTTACTCAAACAGTTTCTCTGCAGCAGCTCTGGAAATGGTTTGGACAGGTATATTAGGCAATCCCGATGACTGAGACGGTGGAAACTGAGTATGATTGAAAGAAGGGAATCCTGGCGTATAAGGGTCACCTGTTCCCAGATGAGCCTAGTAAAACAAAAGAGCAATCACTTCTATCAGGTACTTGTTCAAGAAATTTCCTTGTAAGATTCAGATTGAGTATGAGGCTATAGCCCAAGCTTAGTTTAGCACCTTAAAGTCTGTAAGTCTGAGTGGCGCTATGATACGTGACTCTTGCTTTTTATGGCATATGCCAAATTCAATTCAAGACACTACAATAGTCTCCTCATATCAGTGGGAAATATATTCCAAGACCCTAGTGGATGCCTGACACTGTGGATGAGTACTGAACCCTACATATACTTTATTGCTTCCTCTTTGGCATATTCAAACTGCTAGCATCCCACATCTTTCTTGAACATAACCACTGTGATAACATGCCAGGCAATCTGATAACTGAGATGGCTACTTAGTGACTAATGGGCAGGTAGTGTGTGTAAAGTTGATACATTGGACAAAGGGATGATTCCAATCGCAGGCTGGACAGAGTGGGATAACTAAAAAAAATTCTTTTAATTTTATTTTATGTTTAAAGTATTACAAATAGTAGTACATGTCTCCTTTTCAAAATTTCATTATGCTACTCAGGAAAGCACACAATTTAAAACTTAAGAATTATTTCTAGAACTTTCCATGTAATATTCTTAGATCACAATTGACAGTGGATAACTGAAAGCAAAACCGTGGATACTAGGAGACTAGATTATACTGATCAAGTACTTTTAGCAATAAGTAGCAACTAGGTTTCAATGTCATATAATTTATCTTCTTGCTTACTGCTAAAACTCTCCCAGACAAAAGTATTTAAGGAAGGCACAGTTTTATTTTTACTAATGTAAGTGAAATCTAGCAATAATTTAGAGAACCCAAAAACTCATTTGCTCAAAGAACTCACATGTCCAAACAATGGAAGCTCTGCATCAACAATGGGAAATTTAGTATGGTCCATGTAGATCAAAACACCAATTGCATTTAAACTTTCAGCATTTGCAACCTAAAAAACGAAACACAAAGCTCAGAATATGAAGAACTAATCATATAAATTTAAAATACATACTAGACTTTATGCTGACAAAGGGTTACAGAGGATAACACCTATACTCCCAATATTCAAAATAGCTTATGTTTAGGAAAAATGTCTTAATATTCACTAAGAGTTTATTAGAGAAATAATAAAAACCCATCCAAGATATTTACTGTCTTAATATGTTCCATTCTAGTTGCTTGTGTAGATTTGACTTTTAATTTTCCTTTTTCTAAAAACTAGTTATAATTGAATTCTATATATATACACAAAACTGTTACATAGGTACAACTTAAACTGCTTTCACTGAAGCATTTTTGATGAGTTCATTTTCACTGAAAGACAATGGCTACAAAATAATCCAAGCAGATATGCCACAGTTTTGAAGTATCCTATTGACTTTAGATAATTGGTATTCATTAAGTACTTTAATAAATTTATATTTTCAGGTATGAGCATTTAAGACCACTTGTTTTCAGAACATAATAAAATTAACAATAGCATTTAACTGAGGAAGATTATGACAACAATGTATAACTCATACTTACCTTTTCAGCAAATGTGATTTTCCCTGCTCTAACAAGCACTAAAGAGCCATTCACAGAAGTGCTTAAAGCCTCAAAGTCTTGTTTAGTGCCAAAATTGGCATGGACCAATTTACCCTAAAATAAAGACATTGGATTTAATGAGTGTTATGGTACTAGAACAGCCATAGAGTCTAAGGCAGAATGGTTTTACAGATCAAACTCAAGACAGGGTAAAAGAGGGCCAGGACCTAGAAAGGATACATGTGATTTCTAAAGTCAAAAGTAGTCAGGGTTGCCTGGCCATATTGTGGCTCACTGGTTGGTTGAGCATCGACCCATGAACGAGGAGGATGATTCGATTCCTGGTCAGGGCACATACCCGGGTTGCAGGCATGATCCCCAGAAGGAGGCAGCCAGATCGATGATTCTCTGCTATCGATGATGTTTCTATCTCTCTCTCCCTTCCTCTCTTGAAATCAATAAAAACCTATTTTTTAAAAAAGTAGTCAACGTTATCAGGAATGAAGTCAACATTTCTGGCCTCCTACATTCATGTCTTTCATTATCCCACACTGTCTTTAATCTACATTGATATAGTTAGATTAAGTTAAGTACATTTAATTTATTTTATGTTGCTTCAGACATCTTGGGGGAAGAGAAAGGATAACAAGATATGTTAAACAGAGACATATACCAATATAAATATTGTAGGCTAGCCATGGCAGCATCAATTACATAATGGTCTCATACTTGAACCCCAGACAATTGAAGACATACATACTCCCTAACTGAAAGCTGATAATAAATTTGTCTAAGAATGGTCTATTATAACAAAGTGACTTGCATAGATCAATATTTAGATGTTTATATAAGCTGTCATCATAATGTTCCTAAACTCTACTAATCCAGTTCAGATAAACTGACATTAATAACCAAATATCTAAATAGAGAAAGCTTGCAGGGGAACTAAAATCCTCAATGTTTTTTAGCAGAACAATCCACCCACCTCCAAACCCCTAACTTGTAGGTAACGACACAGCACAGATTAAGCAGGAAGACAGAAGAACAATAAAACTTCATCTGGCTTAAAAGGCATCCACTAGAAAGGCCCCTGACATACATATATGTGGCTTTTTAACCTGAAAAAGCTATATAGAACTATTCTATCCAGATGTTTTTTAAATTTCTGTAATAGTTGGGCCACATTTGCCTAAATTTCATAATATCAAGAATTAAAGAATCAAGCTATCAAGCTAAGATTGGTTGCAACCAAGATGGTATTGATCTGTCCCCGCATAAGGGGGAATCTGATATATGCAAATAACATACTACCATGTGTCAGGCACTGTCCAAAGCTCTAGGACACAGTAATAAATGAAACCAACTCCTAGCTCTTTATATTCCAATGTAGAATCAAATGAATAATGTCAGGTGCCACAGGTACCATGAAGAAAAATAAAGCAAGGTAAGAGGAAGTGATTAAAGGAAGGACATTTTTGATAAGGTAATCAAGGAAGATTTCCTTAGGGAGGTAATCTTCTATATCTATAAAAGGCTAATATGCTAAGTGTCTGACCGTTTGACTAGTAGCTATGATATCCACTGGCCACCAAGGGGCAGCTCAACACACAGGCATGGAACAGACTGATGAATCTTAGAGGGAAGAGGGGAAGGCGGAAAGAGATTAACCAAAGATCTTATATGCATACTAGAGGCCCGGTGCACAGATTCGTGCACCAGTGGGGTCCCTTGGCCTGGCCTGTGGGGATCGGGCTGAAACCAGCAGTCCGACATCCCCCGAGGGGTCCTGGATTGTGAGAGGGCACAGGCCAGGCTGAGGGACCCCATCGGTGCACAAATCTGTGCACTGGGCCTCTGGTATTAGATAAGAGACTTGCACAAAGTGAGGAAACAAGCCATGCAGATATTTAGGGAAGAGTGGTCCTGGCAAAGAAAAAGGCAAGTTTTATAAAGGCCTTGAGGTGAGAGTGTGCTTGAATTTGAGTGTTTGAGGAACAGCAGGGAGATTAAGAGTGGTCAGAGCAGAGTGAAGAGAAGGGAGCAGTAGGATTACTTGGAGTCTTGCCAACTAAGATGAAGATTTAGGGTTTCATTTTAACCAGTTACATTTTACAAGTAAATTTATACTATAACTCCTAAGAATAGTAAAGACAATGAGCTTGTGAGCTATTCAACAGAGAGAAAAGAAGTCATGCACTATTTTGTCTTACTTACAGTAACTGTCGTAGCCTTACTATATGCCACATAACCCTGAGGATTCTCCACGAGGTATGGCCCGCCATTGTTTGTAGCAATTACGGTCACTGAATTTGGATCACTGTTAAAAAGATTATTTTAAAATGAAGCTAAGACCACCATTGGAAAAAAAATTAAATGGCTTTAATACACTTAGTCTTTGCTATATTTATCATAACTAAAAGTAGCTGCTTCTATAAAATAAGTTTACCATCTTTCAACATACCTGCTTTTGACCTGAATCTTAACAAAATGTTCATTATGCCAGGCTTTGCTGAATTGAAGTTTACGGAATCTATCTTCAATATAAAAAGCAAGGTTTGTATCTTTTTGAGATCCAGCCTCACGAGGGACATAAGAATTTTCATTCAGCTGCCTGGAGGAAAAATGTCACTGTTAAAATATTAAACTCAAATATCAAGCAAATTGTTTTTTAACTGAGAGAACATTGGTTAATAACATTACATAAGTTTCAGGTATAGACCATTATTTTTACCTACTTTAAAGTATTGTGAATCCCCTGAAAGCAAAACTTATTATTCTGATCTGCCATGGCTATTTGTAAATATACATGGCATATTAATTATTTGATCTTTTTCTTTTAGTAGACAATATTCTCATTTCATCCATAATGCCTGATGAACAGTATACACAAAAGTATTCATCAGATGTGATAAAAATGCCAATATTTCTAATTTAAGACTAAAAGAACTATTGTACCATTGGAAACTATAGGAAGCTAGTATGGCTAGAAAAAGGTAAAATATAAATTTGTTCTTTACAGAGTTAGATATGTGTGTAAGGAAGAACTTAAAAATCTAAGGATTGCCCTTTTGTGGCTCAGCTGGTTGAGCGTGGACCGCACCAAAAGTTGCCGGTTGATTCCCTATCAGGGCACCTACCCAGGTTGTGAGCTAGATCCCCCGTAGGGGGGGTGCAAGAGGCAGCCAATTGATGTTTTTATCTCTCTATATAATCAATTTAAAAAAATCTAAGGACAGAAAGAAACCTTACAACACTTCTTAAGACATGGATTAATGAGTGAGAACCAGAAGAAATCAAAAAATACTAGAGACATGTCAATTAGTCTCCATCTAGAGGATAAAGATGACTTGGCGAGAGTAGCAGAGCTTAGCATGATCTAAAAAAGGGGTTAGTACCAACAATAAATTTTAAAAATGGGTTAGGATGGAAAATCAGAGCAAAAAAGTCTGATAGCAAGCAACAAAGAAGCAGATAACAAAGATTAAGGACCTGTGAATTCTTTTTAAGAAAAAGGAGAGTCCCCACAAAAGTTCTACTTTTTTCCCTATCATAGTTTGAATTCTTTACTGACTCCTTTACCCTCTAACAAAACATGGGAAGCCTCCCCTGCTCTAAAAAGCCTTTCCTCCAGACCGGTCACCTTTGTTTAGATATTCAGGTCCAACTTGTGAAGTCGCTCTAACTCACCTGATTGTCTTGGTGAAGTCTGCCGAATTCAGTTTCTCTGACAACATTGCTTTGAGGTCTGACCAAAATAAGTGGGGAGATACTTCAGGCAAGTCCTCTTCAGTTTCCTCTTCAGTCTCTACCGCTGCAGACTCTGTTTGCTCACATTCAGTTTTTGGCTCTACACGTTTACAATAGCCCAAATAGCCAATCAAAAATCCTAGGGATGAAAAAGTACAGAGCTGAATTCACAGGATTTTATTTATAATCTATTCCTATAGGGGTTAAAATATTTTCAGCTTAGTCTTCAAAATGCTGGTTTTAATCAAATTTAAAGCAATTATAAAGGAATCAATGTATGTTTTATATATTTTAAACCATTTATCTAATAAATTATATAACTTTATTTTAAACAGTTACTTTTTCAAAGCATGGGTGACTTTTCTTCCTAGTAGCCTTCCTTGAATCCTTAGGCCAAGCTTCTAATGCTACAAATATCCTGGGCCTATTTCTCGTCTAACACTTGCACGTTACACTGAAATGATTCATGTGCCTTTCTCCCACCAGGCTAAACTCAAAGACAGGTTTAGAATCTTAATTATTGTATTTCTACTACCTTGCACAACGGCACATAAGAAGGTACAATATAAATGTTTGGTGAACTGAATTAACAACTTCCTAGAATTGGTGACAAGGAACATTTAAAGTTTAAATGGCACTCTTACCGATCAAGAAAAAGATGATTACAGCAATAGTCCCACAGCAGATTAATCCATTAAGCCTTTTCCGTTTGGCGTGAGCACGATTACCCCTCACGTTATTGTCAATATCTTCTTCCTCTGCAGCTAGTTTCATCTCCACACGACTGTTATCGCCATCTACTTGCCGTGTAAGACTAAACCGGCTGTATGACAACGGTTCTCCACCAAACTGAGATTTTTTTAAAAATAAAGAAAGCATTAAGAAGGGAGGAGGGACATTAACAAAAAAGTTTGGTTGGGTAATATACTTATTATTGGGCCATTACTATGACTTGCGATATATTCTTAAGGAAAAAGAAGTCCCTGCCCTAGCTGATTTGGCTCATTGGATAGTCGGCCTGTGAACTGAAGGGTCCTGGGCCCCATTCCAGCCAAAGCCATGTACCTGGGTTGCAGGCTCAATCCTGACCCTGGTCGGGGTGTGTGGGGGAGGCAACCAATCGTGTTCAGGAAGCAACCAATTTGTATGTCTCTCTCACATCGAGGTCTCTCTCTCTCTCTCTCTGTCTCTCCTCCTTTCCACTCTCTCTAAAAAAAAAAATATCCTGCTGGGGTGAGGGTTAACAACAAAGGCAGTTCCCTTTTCAAACCAATATTCTTCTGTGTATCCAGTTCTGTCAATGGCAGGTTAAGGCTAGAACATATACTGACTGGCCTTCTTCATCTCCTTCAGCCTTTTCATTCAGGGTTGGTTATGCAAATACATGTTGATCTGTGCTTTTAGTTCTTCTGATCTACTTGGCAGTTCCCCTCCACAATGCCCCAAATACCCTGAAAGACCCAACAAGATTTTCTATAATTAATTCTATTCAAGACTAAATATATTCTTCTTTTGTGGGATGAGTTATGATCACCATTTCAAATGTAAATGAATACCTGATAATAGCTTTGGATATTATTTCATGCTTACTTGGTGAAAGTCATTATTGCATACTTCATAGTCTTACAAACTGTTGAGAGAAATATAAACTTAAAATATCTTACCAAGTTGGAGAATGTTGATCTGGCTTGATCCATCATTCTGAGCTGCCACACAGAAGAGCCTAGTAATAAAACAATTATAATGAGATAGATGCATTGCATCAAAATAATAAAAGCTTTTATTACCACACTAGATTATGTATCAAAGTTACTTTTAAAACATTTTTTATTTTATATTTTAATTCTTCATTTTTAAATTTTATTATTTAATCCTCACCCGAGGATATTTTTCCATTGATTTTTAGAGAGGGTGGGAGAGAGGGAAAGACAGAAATATCAACGTGAGAGAAACACATCTATTGGTTGCTTCCTGAACACGCCCGACCAGGCAGAAGCCTGCAACCTAGGAACATGCCCTTGACCAGAATAGAACCCAGGACCATTCAGTCCACAGGCCAATGCACTATCCACTGAGCAAAACTGGCTAGGGCTTAATTTTTATTTTTTAAAATAGATTTGTAGATTTCAGAAAGGAAGGGAGGAGCGAGACAAACATCAATGATGAGAGAATCATTGATTGGCTGCCTCCTGCACCCCACCTATTAAGGATAGAGCCCACAACCCAGGCATGTGCCATGACCAGGAATCGAACCATGACCTCCTGGGTTCATAATCGACGTTCAATCACTGAGCCATGCCAAACAGGCTCAAGTTTACTTTTAAATATTATCACCTTTCTAGAAAGGGCTTCTCACCAAGATATTTAGTTTACATGACAACTAAGTTTATTGACATCTTTGCTTAGATCTCAAATTGAGGTGTGGTGAGTAGACAGCCTCAAGGACATTATTGGGAGAAATAAGAAATTTCAGTATAAATTATATACTGGAACAGTATTGCATCAGTTAGATTTGGGGAATGTGATAACGGTATTGCGTTTTTGGAGAACGCCTTGTGCTTAGGAGATTAATGGGTAAAAATTTAAGGATGAGGTATTGTAATGTCTGTAACTTTCATTTAAAAAGTATATAAGAAATAAAGCAAATGTGGAAACTGTTAACGACTGATGAGTCTAGGTAAAGGGTGTATGGATATGCATATTACTGTTATTTCAATTTTTCTTGTAAATCTTTTCAAAATTAAAAACGTGGGGAAAACTAGTTAGACTGTCATCCATGGTATGTAGATTTATGTAACTGAATTTAGTCGAAGGCATAAATACAAAAGAAATAGACTGGCACCTGAAAAAAAAATACAACAAATCATCTTCAATAGAAAAAGAGAAAACCTGATCCTTCTGATTAAAAGAACAGTTCCTATAAATGACATGATAGATCTTTGATGCAAAAAGAATACACAAAAGGAAAAACATAGAGTATGCTATTTCCTAGATGAAGAGCCAAATTATCTGAGAGGTTAAGTGACTTGTTCAAGGCTGAAAAATTATAATCTAAAAATGAAGTTCAATGTGTTACTGGGTTATAGAAATTATGTTCTCATTTCTAAAAATATTAAGAAACTAATTTTAACAAGACATTATATAAACTGGAATTAGAAAAGCCTCCTATCAAAACCTATTAACATATTTTACTTAATTCTGTAGCTTTAAAGACCAGAGCCAATAACCAATAAATAGATCATATTCTTAGAAGCACAAACTCTTGCCCCATCTGGTACAAAATGCTTATCACTATCGTTGCACCAGAACTGCCCTAACCCAATCACTAGAGCCAGAACTAGAAGGCCCCACCCTGAACCAATTTTAATCATCCTTTTCTAGGAAAAAGCAGCTTACTTTAATGCTCATCTGAATCAGCCATTCCTCAAGGCTTCCAGTTTTAAATTAATTTTAACACTAAAGTGACAACATATTTAAAAAATGATCTAAATAAAGGATTTAAATAAATTATGAGATTGAGTGATTGCAAGCCTACATTAATAAAACATCTAAGTATGGTTTTGTATCATTAAAATCGAAGCACATTTTTTACTGAGAAAACAGATATTCCTATTTCAATCCCCAGGTATAAAATTAAGACTATAACATAAAAGAAATCAAGTTAGAGGAAAAAAGTGTGACCTAGGCAATTCCTATTTTAACATATCTGTGAAGAATATAATGCTATGATATCCACAAAAGTTATTCTGAAATTTTATACAGAGAATTTGAGTCATTCTTTTAAAATTACCTCACACACCAATCTGTTTCAAAAAATAAAATAAAACTACCTCACACACAGTAAAGCCTTCTATTTAAAAGAACTCCTTAATGAATTTTCTTCCAACTGAAATCATTAATTTAAATGTTCTAAAAGCACGAGAGAGAAACTTTCCAGACTAGTTGCAATAACACTATCCTATCTACAAACACACCCAGCAACTCTTATTTGGCTTATTTCAAGATATCACCACCAATGCTGATAATCTATTACAAGAAACAAACCAGCCCTAAACAGTTTGGCTCAGTAGACAGAGTTGGCACAAGGACTGAAGGGTTCCGGGTTCGATTCCAGTCAAGGGCACGTACCTCCATTTCAAGCTCGATTCCTAGCACTGGTCGGGGCTTGTATGGGAGGCAACCAATTGATGTGTCTCTCTCACATTGTTGCCTCTCCCTGGCTCTCCCCCTCCCTTCCACTCTCTCTGAAAATCAATGGAAAAATATCCTTGGGTGAGGATTAATAAAGAGAAACAAACCAAACATCACCTTGATTTTTATTCATATGAGCACCTGGTATATCTTTGGTGTTCTTAACAATAAATGGGAAAACTACTCAGTTGCTCACATTAATAATGATAATTAAGGTAAGCAAAACAGAGCCCCCTGTGTTTCTGAACATGAAATGGAAGGAGGATCTGAAATGTTTTCAATTGAGCCATGGAATGGAAGACAGGAGACAGGCAAAGGTAGTAGACTACAATCTCAAACTTCTTTAAAATTCAAATATTATTCCCACTTTCTATAAATGTGGCATTAATTTCTATTTAATTTTTTAAATATAGTAATTATCTTGAGGTTTTGAGACACTCCTTTGGGGTGTCTCAAAACCAGGAGGGCAGGAGATCAGGAACTAAAATATACTTTCACCTATTTATAACACTCAAAGCTGCTACTCCATTTTACCTGAAATAAAAACAAGACACTTGTTATCACTGAAAAACTACCTTCAGTTTAGGAAAGAGGTCAGTTTCAAAGTCCCCGGAGCTCAGATAAAGTGAAGTTCCTTTTGCCTGCTTGAGGCTGTTCTAGAGGCCTTCACTACCTAATACTTCACTGCCCTCTACTTTCTCCAGAATGAAACAGAAGCCAGTCCTGCCCTTACCCACTAACATTCTTCCCCTGTTCTTGAAGTCCTACTCAAGGGCCATCTGTGAAGCCTCTTCTGATTGCTGTGCCTATCCTAAATAATTCTTGACATGGAATTACATGGTGACGAGATTCTATTTCTTAATACAGGGGCATGCTTAATGTATGAAGTTCATTTTTCACATCATTTGGGAATGATAAGAATGCAATGAAAACCTGATACCTGGAATCTTTTCCTATCGGTCACTATTCTGTTTCATCCTGAAATCACTGAGCAAAGCTTGGGTAGTAGGGAGATTTTTAAAAGTAGAAAACTTTAAAGCTTACATGGGTAGGGCTCCAAGACCTCAAGCAATTGATTACAGATACCCATTTTGCAAAATACTGCCAGTGAAAATGAGACTACATGAACTTACAAAACTTGCTGGACCCTCGGACCTCATACTTGAATATACACAAAATGACTCGTAAAGAGAAGGTCAAGGTCTTTCCTAGCTTTAAGAGTCTAAATTGAAAAGGCAGTGGAGGAAATCAAAGAAAACAAGCAGCATCTATATTACCATTCAGCTTTCTGAAAAAAGACTGCCCAATTGGAAGGTCAGGACCACTTGAAGTCATTGCGGTTTACCTGTGTAGTGGTCAGGGAAAGCATACAGAAGGCAAACACACAAGAAGAGTTCCAAAAGACCTCAGAGGACTTTAAAAAAAAATTTTTTTTGAGAGAGAGAGAGAGAGAAGAGAAACAGATTAGTTGCCTCCCACACAGAGCCTCAATCCGGGATCAAACCTGCAACCTGGGTATGTGCTCTGACCGGCAATTGAACCCACCACCTTTGGGTGAATGGCAGGATGCTCCAACTACATCAGCCAGGACAAGATCATTTTTAACTAGCTTTCATTGTTGTCTAATTCAAATTCAGCCGTGAGCCTTGCTTCATTTTTAATAAGTACATGTACATTATCAGAGGCAATAAATGCCTCCCCTTAGGGCACAATTAGCCCAGGCACTCTTCCCTACCCAACAATCTTCAGCACAGACTAGACTAGAAGCACGCCATTGCCTGACAAAGAACATTCCATCAAAGACAAATTATTGTAGTTAATCCTCACCTGAGGATTTTTTCTATTGGTTTTCATTGAGTGGAAGGGAGAGAGAAATATCTATTGGTTACCTCCTGCACCCGCCCAGGGACCCTGGATCCCAGGTGTGTGCCCTGGGACCTGAAACCCTTTGATGTGTGTGCCGACACTCTTGGCCAGGCTCAAAGACAGATTAAAGGGTGCTTTGCTATTAATAGACTTGGAAAATGTTATATCAATGACAAAAATGTTTTAATTCTGGATTTTCTTGTCAAGCGTACTGAGTTTATTATAATCCAAAACTGAGGGGTGTGTGTGGCTGTGGGGGTGGGGGGGCGAGGGTTAGCAGGGCCAGCAAGTACTAGCGCGCCTACATTTTCACAGTAAAAATCAACTTTCGTAAATCACTTAAAATATCTGTCAAAGGTCAAACTCCCCAGCTCAGAAACAACTGAATCAGCATCTCGTATTCCAAACTCATATTTAAGCACAGAATAGAGATATCAGGTATCTAAATAACCTCGGTAACAGGACAACTATTTCCTACTGCAATCCTGTCAACCCCCTCCCTCCCCACCCCTCCCCTCGCCAAGAAAACGGGATAAAATAGCCATCAAGTTCTCTGAGGGACCCAAGGTCACCGCAGTGGACAGAGGTAAAATGCACCGAAAAGAGCCAAGTCACAAAGCACTATCCTCCCAGCGACCACCTTAGAGAGCCGCCGACCAGAAACGG